AAACCAAACACTGGCTCTAGAGGCCATTCACATTTTCACATTTTACCCTTGGCCACAGTCAACAGCCCCTCCACGATGAGAGCTTCAGAAGCACGCTGATTTTTTTAGCGTGGAACTGTGTTAATCAGTGTTTTTACTGGTTTAAATCACCAGGGGTCTCATTTATAAACTTTGCGTACTCACAAAACGAGGCCTGAAAGAGGCATACGCCACTTCCCACGTAGAGCTGTGATCTATGGAAACAGACTTGATGGGAGAAACTTTGACCCATGTTTACAAACTTCTGGAGATGGGAAATTGGCAATGCAGATGGTGAGGTAGAAGCCTGATTGTAGAAATTGTCAAATATTTTATTTTGGCTTTTGCCTATATGTACATTTTTAGTATTTACAGACCTCTGCAGATAATTCGGCTCCCAGTAAAAACCTCCCGAACATCTGGATCTTCAGTTAGTAGAGAAAAAGGTGAGCACACATTAGCCATTAGTAAGCTGCCCATCTCTGACATGCCAAACATTGTTGAGGTGTGAGCTATTTACCTAAAATCTTCTTCCAGGTGCTGGAAACACTTTCGGTATGGTAAAAGTAACCCTTCAGACATGGTACCTAGACCCTAGTGTTTCCACCCCAAACAGTACCCTTAAATGTGGGCGGGGTTGCTGTCAATCACTGCTCCGTCCAGCACTCACTGTATTTCCTCATCACCACCGACATTTTCAGAACAACAAAAAAAAACAGGCTGCAGTGAGAGTCTCTCTCCATGGGATATTTAAAAATGGCAACTTTGTGCATTTAATCCTTCTCAGGCAAGCTCAGGGGTTTAGTGCTGCTGTAGGCCACAGGAACGACGCTCTGCAACGCTTTTTTTTCCCCCCCGAATGAGGATTAGAATATATGCCGTTCACATATTCTAGCTGAAATTAACATATATTTTTAGACGCTTAAACATCCACTCATCACTAGGTGTGTCTGTCATTTAAAAACTAAAGTGATGGTCAAAGTTGTCACAGTGAAATTTAAGGTGCGTTGACTGATTCATGCCGTCACCTTATGCACTGAGTAACATTACAAGTAAACGTTCCATCGTAAAAGTCGCCGGCAATCGGCCCAGTGAGTTAGTTTTTTTTCTCAGACTCCAGCTGCTGCGAGAGGCAGCAAGACATCCTTTCATTTTATAGTTATAGTTTACTAATAAATCTCTCCACGGTGGTTACATGAGCCTCAAAACCAGTCCCAACTCAGCCTTGAGCAGAGTGACCGTCCTCTACTGACCAGTCAACAGACTGCAGTGTTTTTAGCTCCACCTTTTAGTACCAGATCTGTGTGCTAGGTACTCCAAGGGAGGGGGTGGCAACAGTAATGATGGTTCTATTGGTACCATCCATAACTTTTTACAGTGGAAACAGAAAAACTGCGTACCGAACTGAACCGTACCGTACTGCTCAGTGGAAACAGGGCTTAACTGACCAGCTGCTTAAGTGACAAAAAAAGCCAAATGTAAAAGATGCCGATGGTTGGGGAAGAGTGGAACGAAAAGAGCTTTATACATTACAAAAATTCCCATTTTATCCAAAACAGCTGGATGAACAAAACTCACAGCTTGACAGCATATAATGTATTGAATCATTTCACCCGATCGTATTCATTCTGTGCTGCAGCTGCACTATGTGACGAACTGGGGGGTGAATTATTGAACCTCCAACTGCAGCAGCAGTCTGCCGAGATGGGACAGAGTCAGATGGGCGATATCTGCCAACTTACCCAAGATTGCTTGATTCAAAAATGGGTGTTTGATTGTGAATAAAATCGGCCCTCTTATTAACATGAGACGTCATCTACATCAAAGTGACTTCCCTCGACTCTGAGAGCGTCTGGTTAGGACCAGGGTGCAATCCATTGCCCGGGGTGGCCCTTTGTGCATCATGGTAATAGAGAACAAAGAAGGCCAAAACCTTATGCTATTAAAATAGATTCACCAAAACCAATTGTAGTATATTAGCTTGGAAATGACACAGAGGAACTGACGAGGGTTTTTAGCAGCAGATGGAGTTTCCCCACACCATGAAATTTGTATACTTGGCCTCTAAAAAAACAATTCTTGCTGGTACGTTGAGCAGCCTTCCTGTTTTCACTGAGAAAGTGACACTGGCAGAGTGAGAGAGTGTGAAGCCTCTTTAATTGCCTTCGGTCACCCACAACGTTGAACTGGAGCGCCACGCAGCTTAGCAAAGGAACCGGGCAGAGGGCCTGATAGATATTTTATCGCCCAAGTTAACGGTTAATGAATTCCCAAAGTGAAATCTGTCACTTCAAAAATAAAGAGGAAGGCAAATTAAAGGGAGATAGAGAGAGACAGGGGAAGAAAGGAACTGGAGAGGGTGACACAGTTTTAAAATGCCCTATCTTTTGGCCATCCCCGGTTTTTCAATGGAATAAAGAAAACTCAGCCTCTTTCTTCTCCTCTTTTCTTCCCCCACTTCTTTTTTTCTCCCTCCCATCCTCCTATCTCTCACTCCGCTTTTCTCTGAAAAAATTCTCATGAATGATTTATATGTGTCTTGTTATCAGCAACGATTTCTATAGACCCCAACGCATTCACCAAGACATTTGTGGCGTAATTGTTAATTTTAATGCCATAATGGCTTCAGATGGGAGCCCTGATTAGACATTTATTACACAATTAAATGAAACATACTCAAGAATCACAAAAGCCTTCCGTAATTATTTCAGGCCATTAATAAAATGGGCATTAAATTATATTGGACACAAAAGAGAAGTGAAATAGATTTCCATTAGAGCAATAGAGGCAGAGAGGGGTAATAGATCCTGCCTGAATTCACTCTGAAATTAATTGTTGCCCAGCCTATTTCCACACACAGTGGAATAAATGAATGAGAAAAGAGAGGAAGAGAAGAACGAGTTGGTGGCCGTGAGAGTGAGGGGAGGGGGTTACATTAAGAGCCTCTGATAAAAAACCTTTTGTTTGACGTACTACAATGGACCCTCAATTCAAGAGAGAGGGAGAGGGAGGGAGAGTCAGACCAATTTCAATCTTAGTCCACCCCTCCAGACTTCTGAGTCGAGGTTATATCCTCTTTTCAAGTTTTGTTTGCTTTTGAATAAACAGCTATCAGAGATCTACCTGCAGATGCATCCGTCTAAATGTGACACTTATTAGAAAGCAACGTGCGGGTCGTAACGCCGGCCAAAGACAACTGCTTTTTTTTTAAGTTTTATTTTATTAAAAGAAGTGGAACAAATGCATGTGACAGGAAATCAATCTTTTCTTTCGTTAATAAATGACCTGCTGGGTGCAAGGCAGATTCTTTGACTCTTTGACATCAGGTCACCTTCTGGTTATAAAATGATGGAGGTCAGGCTCCGTAGATTCATAAATAGCAATCAAAATCTTTATCTTTCAGAAAAAAGGGGCCGTTTTTCATGAAATTATAAGTCAGGAGTTTCTCATTATAATTACTATACACTTTATGTTCATGAGTACAAACTAATCTTGCCCTCACTCTTGAGAACTGGGACAAAACCTTATTATTGGGGGAGTTTTTACTCTTCAATTAGGTTGGAAAATATATTTTAAAAGATCAAAGTCTTGACTATTGAACCTTGTAATGGGCAGACCTCCCAGTGATTTAATATTCTCTTGAATAGAAAACATGATGGACGTCAGAGGTAAGATCTGATGCAGCAGTCTTTGTGAGTAGCCATTTTATTTCAAGGTTCCCATGGTCATGAAAAACTTGGAAAAGTCATGACATTTCACAATGACTTTTTTCCAGGCCTGGAAAACTAAACAAAAGTTTTGGAAAACTCATGGAATTTTGTTGCGTATAATGAAATTGTTATGGTAATATTTAATAGATAACCTTCAACATAACATAACCTCAAATCATTTTCTGTAGATGTTGACGTAACATAGCGTAACATATGTGCCGATGTGTGACGTTTTGTCTACTATCTACCGTCATTTTCTCCCCGTGTTCTGTCTCTTCATTCATGCATGTCCGCTAGCTGAAATAAAGTTTGAATCTCATATGTTTAAAAAATGCCAGGCAAGTGGGGCAAGGAAAAAATTACTATGGGTCCTTGAAAATCATGGAAAAGTTTTGAAATTTTGTCCATGAAAATATGTGGGAGTCCTGCTAAGAGTTTTCTTAATGCTAATCAAAATACTAATTTTTGAACTATAATTCTTCTTTAGTTTGGATTTAGAAGGGTTGCAGAGTTGTTATTTGTCAGACACACCTCATAATATTATTTAATGAATTTATCAAAAAATATAAAGCTTACCAAAACTCGAGCAGCATTCACGCCTTTTTGGCAACCAGGAAGTGAGACAGGAGTCCTTGTGTTATAGCTAACCCCTTTTTATACCTTATTAAATGATGTTTTAATAGAAATCTGATGGAGTTGACAAAAATCTGGGACACATCTTTAAAGGGCCAACATTTTAACAAAATATATATTTTTAAACAAAGGTGATTACAGCAGTACATTTCGACACCAATGTCATCAGTACGCACTGTTACTTTTAGATTTTGAAGGCTTTTAACACACTTTTTAAATGTTAAAAGTTGTGAATTGTTGTCTGGGACAAAGCTGTTTTCAGACACGGCAAATTTAGATGTTAGAAAAATGAACGCAGATCAAAACATTTCATAAATTATATTTATTTTATATAAATAAATCATTTAAAATAATGTTTCACCACAGAAACAGGCTAAGTGTGCTGGTAAGTTATAATTTTTTCTTATTTTATTCTTTGATAGAACATGATCTGTCCCAGTTCTCAAGAACAGGTGCTTTACTTTCACTAAAATGTGATAAACAAAACAAAAATACGATATATAAAACAAAAATACAAAAATGTGATATTGCTGTTTAAAACAAACAAAAACAATAAGTTTTACATCAATATTCATGTGCTAATCCTTTTTTTGTAAAGCATCTTAAATGTGAAGTCAGGAAAAAGAGCACTTACAATGGAAAAATTAACAGAATTTATTTTCCCATCTCCGAACAGTGAGATTACGACAGTTAAAACACATCAAAGCCCAACGTATGGCAAAGACTCTCTGAAACCATTTCCGATGGGAGCTCTAAATTGAACCGTCTTTTGAACTGGCGGTCTCTTGAGATCTTCTGTAAAAGTGTAAAAAGAAATGGAAACTGATATCTCGCACGGCTAGAACAGATCATTCAACAAAAATTAATTAATCATTCACTCATTCACTGATACAGATTTGTAGAATTGTATTTTTTTTCCCCCGCTCCATCAGTCTGTCTGGCTTCAAAAGCTTTTCAATTCTTCAACTGTCTCTTTTTCATTATTTGAGCTGTGTCTGTTTTTTTTTTCTTTTATTACAATACCTAACAGTCCAGCTCCGATTTCACAAGCAGCTGTTTGTCATGTGAAGGTTTTCCCACTTCACAATTCAGGATGTAAGTTCTGTAAACAAAACAAGGAGAAAGGGTACAAGAGCGGGTTGATTGATATGTATAATTCTGAGACATTCAGGAGAAGCACTGAGGAATATTGATTTTCAATCTCAGTTTTGAATTCATCACCTGACTCACGGGAGCTTTGCAGCATGTCTGCAGGTTCAGGTCTCAGACTCAGTGCTGGTACACCTACGGTGAGAGATAAAAAAAACAAGAAAGGTTGTGTAAAAGAAAGCTATTCAAATCCTTGAAATTAATGTAGATGTGTGTACGCTTCTGTATCTAGTTATATTACTATTATTGACCCATCCAGACACATTTTGATCTAGCTTTTACTGGACTCAGGCAGTTTACCATCAAGGTGAGCTTTATGCCACATTTGTTTTACCTCTGGGTGTCTCCACTGTAATATAACCACCAAATCCAATTAATCAAAATATTATATTTCACAATGTTCTGTGTCGTATTTATTAAAAAGTGTTTTTCCAATAATTAAAAAGGGCCGACAGAGCCTGAATGTCGATGCTGGGCACGCACTCCAACAGACAAATTATGTCCGGTGATGAGATACGGCTTTGGGCTATAATGAGAGTTAATGAGTGAGTATAAATGTGTCACAGGTGTTATCGTGGATATTTTACTTTTAAAGAACAGCTGTTATTTAATTTGAGATATTCCCAAATGCAGAATGTAGTGTAACAGAGGATAATATCACAGTTTGGAACCAGCTGTTCTCAGAGGTGAGACCTGTACGTCTCTTTCTTGGCCATGATGGTATTTAGTTTATTACCTCACGCTTTATATGGCATTAAGAAAAGTGGAACTTCTTTTTTACTGTTCAACTTAAAGGTAAACTACGCAGGACCCCCCCCCCCCCCAAAAAAAAAAAAAAAGCAATGTCTAGACTCATGCAGAATAATCCCTCTCAATCATGGCATCTGACTCAGTCTCAGTGTGTAGTGGTATATTTATCCAACACATTCTCACTCCAACCTTGTCACATGTCGACGTCTGGTCATGGACTTTCCGCGTCGACATACGACGACCAGGTACCCTGAGTTTGTTGGTTGTTGATGTTCTGGGACGATGTGTCAAGTTCAGCCTGTTACATGCATTGTGAGTACGGTCTCTCTCCCAAGTCATCAAAATCCTGCGCTTGGGCAGTGATTTGCGGCGTCAGAAACCACCGAAAAGAGGCGTCTTTTAACGTCGGCGTGATACGCCACTGGTTGCCATTACAGTTTAACGGCACTAGGGGAAAACGCGGCAGGACAAGGACGAAAGTTAAGAGGGCGAAAGTCCGAGTAGGGCCGGTGGGAGGGGTGGTGGATGGGTCCAACAAACACAGAATTTCACTTGTGAGAGCGGTGTTCATGTCCCATAAGATTATAAAGCAAAACCCTGTTCTTTTTTCCTAAACCTAACCACGTGTGTTTGTTGTTAAAGTAAAAATAGTACTAGTAGTAATAGTAGTAGTAATAAGAATAATTGTGCCGATGTAGTGCTTTTATTTGCAAACTGTAAATTTCCAGTGAAAACAGAAGTGTATCTTCAAAGAAGAGAACTTGACACAATGTCCCAGAACATCAGTAACCAACCCACCCAGGGTACCTTGCACGTCGTATCTGGACGTGAAAAGTCCATGACCAAAACATCAATATGTAACAAGGTCAGAGTGAGAATGCGTTGGCATTGTGTGTTTTCAAAATACACTTCTTTTCTTTTTTACAGGAAATGTACAATTTGCAAACACTACATTGGTACAACACTGCAAAGTGATGTTTTTTTTTCCTTCAACAACAAACGTTATTACATTTATCCAACACATGCGCATGATTGGGAAAACAGAACAGGGTTTGGCTTTACAATCTTTCGGAAAGCAAGATCAGCCTCCTGGGTGAAAGTCGGTGGTTGTTGGACCCATCCACCACCCCTCCCACCTGCCCTATTCGGACTTTTGCTCCCTTACCTTATGTTGTTTTCCCGCCGCGTTTCCCCCTGACACTGCCAAGCGCTGTTAAACAATATTGGCGCATGGCCACGTATCACACCAACGTGAATGGCTGTATTTTTTCATTGGTATCTGACTCTGCCCTCTGCATTTTCTACTTATTCTGTGGGACGTTCGGGGGCTTGTAGCCTCAGAAAAATAGCAGCACGCAGTTGAGGTCAGGATGTTATATAAAGGTAGCAACCAGGTGGGAGCAGCATACATCCAAGAGGAAGCTATGAAAATCCAGACATGCTGCTGAAAAAAATGCAAATATAGCAAAGTGAAACATCAAGTGGACAAAGCTTGTTCCAAAACGAGTGTGGATCTGGACTTGGCTTTCACTTTCACTGGTGGGCACTGAAGAGTAAGGAGAGGATGTGGATAAAGAATGACATGGAAATGGCCTGTTTTCTGATGGACCAACCCAATCTGCAGCAGAAACGTTTGCACTGTAGGTTTCTGCAAAGGAGTACTCAGATTCTAGAATTGATGGCTCAGAGTGGTAGATGCTTGGGCATCAAGAAGTGGAGGGTGCCCTCAAGGTCCTTATTGGTGGAAGATTTTACAGAACTGACATGTGAATTATTGACCCTTGTGGCACACAGTGTTGTGAAGAGGATAGTGGAGTTAGAGGACATGATTGGTCATGGGCTGATCTGCTTCATTGGCTGAGGAATGTTTAGGATGCAGGACAAAGTCAACAGCCTTGGAGGAGATGATGATGGTGTTGTGTTCCAAGTGACAGAAAACCAATGAGTATATCAGTGGAAATGTGGGAACATCATGGTTCACATCAGGCAGAGGCAGTAGATGTTTGAACATCAAATGTCAGTTGTCAAGCTTGCAACAGTAAATAGAGAGACAGGGGAGGGTGGAGGAGTTGGCTCTTTGAGTGGATTTGAGTTTGTCCGGTTGTGGATGAGGTTGGGGAATTCGTCAGGTTTCTGATTCTTGGACAGTGTAAAATTAAAGAGGAATAGAGTCCTGGTGGCTCACTGATAGTTGCTGTGTGGATGAAGGCTAGGTTCGTCTGGTCGGTCCAGTGGTGTTTTGGTTTCTCCAGCGAGTGCTTCCTTTCTTCCAGGCCCTCCTGCATCGTCTGCACTGCCCAGTGGCTGATTTCATAGTTTTGTTTTGGAGATTTGAGGAAAGGAAGGAAGGCACAAGGGTGGAGCTTCAGGACCTTAAGAGACAGATGGTTCAGGAGGAATGCTCATTCCACATTGGAGGCGTCCACCTCCAAACAAAAGATATCAAAGCATTTAGATGACCCAATATGGGAGCACAGTTACAGTGTTAAGCACATCTAATGCTCCTTCTGTCTCAGAGGTCCCTCAGTACAACTGATGGTACCACAGGGTGTAGTAACAGGGCAAAATCACAAACAAATCATAGTAGAGCTTCTTTTGAATGGCTGTTGTCACTCAGACATCATGTTAACTTAATCTGAATCCATCTTTAGACTGCCATCAGACATCATGTAATCATCATGTCTCATCCTTGAATCAAGGGACTCCCTAAAAACCTTTTATTTCACCTGAAAGGGTGTGGTTTTGCAGGATGTAGCATTGCACACTTCAGCGAGCTCTGTGACGTCTCAGCCCCTGAATGCAAGTTCATAATTTATATGATAACCTGTTTGTATGATAACTTGCATGCACCTTTGTAAGAAAGCAGAACAAAAAGTCTGGATTAATTTGGTTTAATGAAAATGAAAAGTTGGTCTGAGTGTCAAAGTAAGAGCTAGTTTTAGAGCTAGTTTTTATTTAGTTTTTATAGCTAGCACGCTAATGTTAGCAAGCCTTTCATTTTCCCTGCCTGGATGCAGACAGGAACCAGTCTGAAGGCACATTATAAAACATAAATAAAGGGCATGTTTTCTTCTGGTGGCCTTTCTACATTGAGCTATACTTTGTTATGATGAAGGAGTTCATAAACAGACAGCGTAAGTTAAGTTAATAGTAAGTTAATAGTAACATTAACCACTGCTCATTTTAGATGGGACACCCCACAAAATGGTTTTCTTTGATTAGATTATCAAACGGCCAATGGATCATGGTGCTAGCGTGCTAATGTTAACAAGCCTTTCATTTTCCCTGCCTGAATGCAGACAGGAATTGAAAGCACATTATTTAAGAACACATTTTCTTCTGGTGGCCTTTCTGCATTGAGCTATACTTTGTTATGGTGAGTTTATAAACAGACAGCGTAAGCTAGCTAGCATGCTAGCAAGTTAAATTGTATTGTATACGGATGTCTCCACAAGTATTTAACCATAGAAAATCAGCCAAAGCCATGCTGGATAAGTGTTTTTTTTTTGTTTTGTTTTTTTTGTTTTTTTTTGTTTTACAATTCCTCATGACAATGAATTATTTTACACCATGTAGGTAATTCAGGTCATGTAGTCTGAAACATACACTCCTCTGTTGAGCTTCCAGCAGTGATTATAGCCTAAATATGGGGATTCTATCTAACTGGAGATGAAACTTTTTTTATTTTCTACACATAGATCATAAACCATTGGATATAAAAATGACTTATTGCAATCGGTTAATAAATATAAACATTATTGTGCTTTTTGTCTAGAAAAACCGCAGCTCCCCTGTTTACTTGTGTTTTTTTACAGGCCAATATGGCGGCGCTGCTAATGTACAATCCAGCAGCCAATGAGGCAGTGACGTTTTATATCTATGGGTTTGACTATAGGGTGCATCAGAGGGACAAAATAGCAGCACGTGATTAACGCCGTTTTTTTTTTTTAAAAAAAAGTGTTAATACTGACAACCCTTGGTCAGTGACTTCTGGCATCAGACACCGAAAAAAAAAAGCCAGTCAGTCACTGTTATTGTTTAACTGCGCCCAGCGGCCATGAAAGTTAAGGCGGCAGAAGTCCGAGTAGGGCGAGTGAGAGAGGTGGTGGACGGGTCCAACAACCACTGAATTTCACATGGGAGGACAGTGTTTGCTTCTTGTAAGATTGTAAAGCCAAACCCTGTTCTTGTTTTCTAACCCAACCATGTGCATTTGTTGTTGAAGGAAAAAACATCAATTCAGAGTGTTGTACCGACGTAGTGCATTTATTTTGAAAGGGACTGTATGCAAACTGTACATTTCCTGTTAAAATGGAAGTGTATTTTGAGAACAGACAATGCATGTAACAGGCAGAAGTTGACACAGCGTCCCAGAACATCAACAACCAACGCACCCAGGGTACCTTGCACGTCATATCTCAACGTGGAAAGTCCATGACCAAACGTCAATTTGTGACGGAGTGTTGAATAAACATGGACACACAGCATGTGGATGCCCATGGTTACCATAGTAACGGTAAACAACCTATTAAGTGGTTTAGAGAGCTGAAAGCATAAAACATCCTACAATGTTTCGCTCTGTATCAGAATCAATGCTTCGCATCCATTTTACGAAGTTTGTCTGAACAGTAAACTCTGTCTGAAAAAAGTCCAGCTCCATAATAATTATTCAGATGTAGGTATTTATTGTATAATTTATATATATGCGTATGACTGTTTATTGTTTTGTTTTATTCTTTAATATACATCTTATGTTATTGTTTCGTTTAGATTCTGGTTTATAATGTGTAAATCTTATCTGGTGAGTCACAGTCTCATGTGAAAGGCTCAAATCCCCCTGCAAGGAAGGCCAGCTCTAAATGAGTTTTTTCTTTTCTCTTAATGAAGGTCAGGAGAGAGTCACATCTTCCCTTTTGTGATAATTTATCCCTATCTCCTGTTATCTCTTTTGCCCCTTTAATCCTAATTGTATTGTATAATTGTGTGATGTGGACCTGGTGGTCTTTGAAGTATTGCCCCTATCCTTTCATTATTACCTGATGCCTTGAACCTTTGTTAATTTTTCCCCCCGCTCTGCTCTGCACTATCCAGCGTTGCAGAATAAAAGAGAGCACAGCTTAAGTTTAGTCATTTTTAAAGGTTTTATTCAAGTCTGATTTTACTATCTAACTGAGAAATGGCAACCACAGAGATATGATATATATGGATATTTTCTGTAATATATACCCCATGTTGGCAGAAGATCTCACATACCACTCGTTGCTGTTTTGATTGCCTCTCAGTGTTAGTGAATGTAAGCGGAGGATGTAAAAAGCTCTGCAGTATTATGAGCTGAATTTGAGTTTTAGAATTATTTCCATATCGCTGAAAGAAAAGCCTTTTTGTAACATTGTCAGTTTAATTATCAGCAGTTCAGTATGTATGTGTTTTTGTACCATTTTCAGGGACAACATGGTAACATCAGTCCAAACCGCTAACAAATGCCTCGACCGTGAACACCCAGTATTTTAATGTGTGAAAATATAAATGTGGCAGATTGTAAAAAGATTGTGTTACGTGCTGTAGCTTTTATTCTTTAAATTTAACATGTTCTTACACAGGAGTGGGAGCTGTGATGTATGAGCGCTCTGTATCCTGTTTGCACCGTTTTGCTCAGAGTGCCAATGAATTTTATGTCGCTCTTTGAAAACTTTGACAGGAAACAAAAATTCATAATGATCACTACGAGAGTGAACTATGTGTGTTTGTGCTCATACATAAATTTGACCAGTCCAGGTTCATCCAGAGTCAGTTAAAGTGGAGATGTTGCATAGTCATTTCATTTTTTTCAAGAGGTACTCAGTCTTTAAGGTCAAGACTAAGAATCAATGACGCAAAACTGTAAATGGAACTGGCCAGTTGCTGGCACAGTATCAGTATAACAGAGTGGACATGCACTTCTTTAAAAATGTGATCTCACTAACTTGCTTTGATTTGTGTTTTTCCCCTTTTCACATCTTCTGTGTCCTGTCTTATCTCCAGTTAAGTCCACAGTCATCTGATTTTAAGTAGTTCCAACTCTGACTTTATTGAGTCAGTCCTATGGGTCTTTTATAATCTGACAAACTCAGTTAGTTGTAGTTGAACCAACGTGATTTGCTTTTATCTCAAAAACCTTTAATAAGTTATACCAACTTAATTTTTGTCCCAAAGTTGTGGTGATATTTGTGGTCAAATTATTTTATTTAAGATATTTTAACTTATTTATTTTAATTCCATCCTACTCAAAAAGGTTTTGATGTTGACCAACGTCTTAACTTAAGTTGTCAACTGAATAAAATACGTTAATGTAAAAAACGTAATTTTGTTATGCTGAAAAATGTCTTTATTTTATATCCACAAAGTGCATGAGTCACTTTTTAGAGTGCACTCTAAAAAGGGATTCACTGGCTCCGCTTAAAAAAATGAAGGTAACAGTTTGCATTTAACTCTGGCTTTTTTGAGTCAGTCCAATGAGTCTTTTATAATCTTGACAAACTCAATTAGTTTAGTACAACCAACATGATTTGCTATGACCTCAAAAAGCTTTATTAAGTTCAAATGTTGTGGTTACATTTAGTGGTAAGATTATTTTATTTAAGATATTCTAACTTATTTATATTAATTTCATCCCCGTCAAAAATGTTTTGATTTTGACCAACTTCTTAAAATCAGTTGTCGGCAAACTAATACACATAAATGAAATACAAAAACTGATTAATTGGTTCAACTTAATAAAATGAAGGTATCAGTTTGCATGCATCTTCTTAAGTAGTTCTAATTCAGGCAATTATTAAGTCAGTCTTTAATAATCTAACAAACTCAGTTAGTTTAGTACAACCAACATGATTTGCTTTGACCTTGAAAAGTTTATTTAAGTTAAACCAACGTAATATTTGTCAAAAAGTCGTGGTGATATTTAGTGGTCAGATTATTTAAGATATCCTCCTCAAAAATGTCAAGAATGTTTTGATTTTGACCAACGTCTTAAAATAAGTTGCCAACTGCCTGAAACACATTAACATAACACATGTAAAAAAAAAATTATTATGCTGAAAAACGTATTTATGTTATGTATTATCCACTAACCCCATGAATCTTTCACTCTAAAAAATGAGTCACTGGTTCAGCTAAAAGAAATGAAGGTAACAATTTGCATTTAACTCTGGTAACAATGAGTCAGTCCCATTAGTTTAGTACAACCAACATGATTTGCTTTGACCTCCAAAAGCTTAATTAAGTTAAACCAACTTAATTTTTGTCCCAAAGTTGTGGTTGTATTTGGTCGTCTAATTATTTTATATAAGGTATTCTAACTTGTTTATTTTAATTCCATCCTACTCAAAAATGTTTGATTTTGACAAACTTCTTAAACTTATAAATATTAAGTTGTCAACTGACTGAAACAATGTCAATGTAACAAACTTAATTTTTTATGCATCATCCACTAACTCCATAACCCCACTGGTTCAACTTCAAAAATTGAGGTAACACTTTGCATGCATGCATTATCCACTAACCCCATTAATGATTTTTTCTTGATGCTAAAGTAAGGGACATGCAGTTATTTTCAACATACAAATGTGTTTATTATAATTTCTGGAGCCATAATGTATTAGCTCCAAATGTGCTTCTTCCACACTGTGAGAGAAACAGGCTTAAAAACATTCTGCTGGGAGAAAAAAAAGTTAGGAAAGTTGTAGACCATGTGAGTTGTCTCTTTCTAATATATATTTTGTGACAGAGAACCATCACTAAATAGGATGGAAATACAATAAAAGGCATTGAAATGTCAACCCTAGCTTTTAAGAGTTTTTTGAGGGAGGACGCATGTGTGCAGTAAAGAAACCCTCTTACCGCCTCAGCACCATGGACAGTTCCGGTAGGGGAGCTTACCTCAATGCTCTCCACGGGAGCCCAACTTGGCTAATAGGCTCTGTGTGTGTCAGGCCGCTCCCCATTCACTTTTTAAGGCGAGATGGATGGACATGTGTCCTTAGATAATCCTCGTTGTGTGTGCAAGTGATGGTGCTGTGTGTGTCTGCGTGTGTGTGCATGTATGGAGGGGTGGGGGGTGTCTCTTGCGCGCGTGCCAATGCGTGTCCCTGTTATTTGGATGTGTTGTTTATTACAATAAGTCATTTTGAGTTATATTAGATGAAAATAAACTTTCATCAGTCGCTCACTTTAGCTGCTAACAGTCCTCTAAAGCAAATACAGCAAATTAAGGCTATATAGAAAATATATATTGTTATTTTTCTTTTTTTAATCATTATTTTAGCTGTTTGTTGTCACCTTTTCAAATGTCTGAAGTTTGCAGATGGAGACAAAGTTTTTTACGCGCACCTGAGTGTCAAAACTGTTTCCTTATTTATAAGCTGCATTTTTTTTTAACCTTTTTTTATCCCGCACAGTAACGATTATATTAACAGGCGATGGAAAACAAATATCATCTCAATCCCTCACAAATTAAAACCAACTGCATTTCTCATTATCCCCGTTAAATTGTCGAGGGAACTTTCAGGCGTGCGTTTATTAGACAATCAGTTTTTTGAATAAGAAACATAGTAGACTTCCCCCCTCGTGAGGAGGAGGAGGAGGCTCAGCCCCTAAAATAATTCCCTGTTATCTAATTCATTGATCTCAAAATGAAGCCTAAGCTGCAGTGTGTGTGTGTGTGTGTGTGTGTGTGTGTGTCAGCAGCCTACATGTCAAATTGCATACGCTGTTGGCTGAAAGATAGCACAACATAATTTAAAACTTCAAAATAACCTGAACATACAGTGGGAGCATGCAGCAGTACACTACCTCATGGTGGCTGATGAACATCACAACGCGCCGATTGGGAGGATTTGAGGAGCTTTTTCTTTTTGCAGGCATCCGGTCGGCTGTTTAAAAAAAAAAAAAAAGAAAGAAAGTCGGGGGCGTCCTCAGCTGTGGGCTACATTGTTCTGCAGGTCGGGGTGAGGAGGATTTTCCTCCCAAAACGGGCGTATTTTTTTTTCTATAATTTCAGGGTTTGTAAAGAAAGATATGATGGAAATCTTCTTGTTACAAGCTGCCGATTGACGCATGCGTGTGAGGGGCCGGGGAGCGGAGAGGGAGCGTGAGAAAGAGACACAGATGGTGCTGAAATATGGGAATATCACAGGCAGGAAAAAATAACTCCATTTTGTCCTATTTTGGGTGCTAAATTAACCTGCTTTGGCCCTGCGCATGAGCGTGCTTTTCTCCTGTTTTTGCGCAGAATAAAACCTTAAAATACACGCGCCATAAATGTATTTAGCTTTAAGGTGTTCTTCATCTTTTAAAGTATTTTTATTTATCATGCAAACATATGAGAGATATTATGTGAGTGTGATGTGGTGACATTTTAAAGAATCTTTGAAGTGTGCAGCCCATGAACACATACATACACATACACACATACACAGAAAGATGAGCTGATAATTGCAGTAGGATGTGGTCCACAACATCCGCGTGTGCGTACGCGCGCGCATAAACATATATATTTATAGGCACAGGCAAAGACAAGCTTAAATAAATGTACTTAGCAGTGTAACTAACCAGAGAGGACTCCAGTGTGTCTCCAATCAGCGTTTTGACGCTGTTGGAAAAAAAGAAAAAAAATCATCTGTCTGCGTTTGGTTTAATAATCACAGCTGAAGGAATCATATATCACGCACATTAGCCCGAGGGCTATTAGGCAATGGTCCTCATTGAAATTTGCATTTTAAAACGATCACTCTGTGCCTCCTTAAAACCACACTGTCAAACTGATGCGAGCTAATGCAACAATTATAGACGCACAATGGCGGGTTTTTCTAAACGTTTAACAGTTGATGTAATATTTCCTTGCTGTTTGTAATTCTGTCACTTACGCAGTTTTGAGCTCCACGTATAGCCCACGGATGGCACGCGCGGGCTTAAATTGTGCGTGCATGTGCATGGGCCCTTGTACTATCATGGTTTTGCTTGTTGTTGTGGCATCATTTTATTGGGAAGTGTTGGAGAAGGCTGCTGAAACACTGCAGCTAAATGTGATATATTTTGCATCCTCCTAGTTTAAACACAGGGGTGTGTGTGTGCGTGTGCGCGCCCTGCAGCTGGAGGACAGAGGTTAAAGTCCTGCTGAAGTGTCTTTGAGCAAGACTGCTGCAAAATGGGTGCCATGTTGTGTTTTATAAGAGGGAATGTTCTCATTTTAAATTATTTTTAAAGGCATAAAACTATTCTTCTTATCATTAATATTATTATTACGCGTAGAATAAATGAAATAACAGCTGTGTCTGTGTGTGTTTAGGTGACAGCCCTCCCATATGCTCCTGTGTGAAGCTGTACAGTAAATTGGTTGCACGGTATAGTCACCTCTCTGGATTGAAGTCAGGTTTTAACTGGAAAAGAGGTTGAAGGTCCATGTTTGTTGCGATTCATTACATTAAATGGAATCGGGGAGGGATCCTGAGCATTACCCCCCTCCACACACACACACACACACACACCCCACACACACACACACACACACACACACACACACACACGCACGCACACACACTCCTCTTTCCTTATTTTTTTCTCCTACTACCACCCGCTCTTTGTTTATGTTGTAATGTACATATATTTTTCCGTGAAGGTATTATAATAGCCGGTCTTGGTGCTGATTGGGCGCTCAGGTTGGTGAGTGAACGCCCTGCAGATTATGTCAGATTGCGTGCAGAAACCAAACCAGCCCAGCCTTTGAACTTCACCGCTTTTGGCTCGTATTCACGCTCTTCCGCTCATTTCCAAACCAGGTGCTTGACGACAAACCTCAGAGAGAGAGAGGAGGAGTGTGTCGCAGAGAAAAAAAATAACACTTTTACGACTCCTGCAAACTGACTGCGGAACATTGCTTTCACCTTTGTGGATTTTTTTTTTTACGTGTGTGCATCTTACATGTATTTTTTTCCTGTATTGCTGCCGCAGGTCTGAAAGAGAGTTGTAACCGGACTTGAACGACCGCGCGTCAGTGTTTTAACTCTGGGAAAAGCAAACCGGGCGCTGGATTTTTATTTTCTTCTCTTTTCTTTTGGCTGTTTCGCAGACTCACAACATCCCAGACGTGGCATGACTGGTATCTGGCATCTAGACAGGTGAATAGTTTCCCTTCCTTCCGATAAGAACTTTTCCTCGTCATTAACATTGGGGATAAAAGTACACTTTTGTTAAAGATGTCAAAGCCCGCTGATCACATCAAGAGACCCATGAACGCGTTCATGGTCTGGTCCCGGGGCCAGAGGAGGAAAATGGCACAGGAGAACCCCAAAATGCACAACTCTGAGATCAGCAAAAGACTGGGCGCCGAGTGGAAGCTGCTTTCCGAGTCTGAGAAGAGACCTTACATCGACGAGGCCAAGAGGCTGCGGGCTCAGCACATGAAGGAGCACCCCGACTACAAGTACAGACCCAGGCGCAAACCCAAAAACCTGCTCAAGAAGGACAGGTACGTTTTCCCTTTGCCTTACCTCGGGGACACCGACCACTTGAAGGGACTCCCGGTGTCGGCCGCGGACTCTCTGTTGAGCCACTCGGAGAAAGCCAGAGCGTTTCTGCCGCCGACCACCGCTCCATACTCCTTCCTCGACCCGAGCCAGTTCAGCTCCAGCGCCATCCAGAAGATGACAGAGATGCCGCACACGTTGAGCACCAGCACTTTGCCGTACGCGTCCTCGTTGGGATACCAGAACGGCGCGTTCGGCACCCTTGGGTGCCCCAGTCAGCACACCCACACCCACCCGTCGCCCACAAACCCGGGCTATGTCGTCCCGTGTAACTGCACGGCCTGGTCAGCGTCAAGTTTACAGCCCCCGGTGGCCTACATACTTTTTCCAGGTATGACCAAGACTGGGATAGACCCATATTCATCCGCACATGCCACTGCCATGTAACCCTAAAGACTCTTTTCTTTTTCTTTTTTCCTTTTTTTAAATTCACTTGAATACTGAAATGCATGTAAATATATTATGGACAGCGCGCCCCATTAAAAGGCATGAACAGTATTAACTGCCTTGGACTTGTTATGGCAAAAAAATGATTAAAAAAAAAAGACAAACTTTTCCAGAAATCCAACAAGTTCCTGAGCGGAGCAGAGGAGCTGGTGTAAAGGACGATGCCCTGTGAACTGTAAGAAATGTAAATGTTATAATGGCAGCCAGAAAAGGAGGCCTTTAACTTTATTTATTGTGTACATTTCAATGCTGATATGCTGATTTGTGTTGATTATTGATAGGCTAACTCCTTTGAGTTTAACAAATTTGGCTTGCACAATTAGCATTCTTATTTCCTGTATAGGCCTAAAGTAGTCTACATTTTGGCACTCGTGATTTTATGATGTTTGGATAGGGTCAAAATCAGGACCTATAGGCTGGATTATATACGGGTCATATTGTTTATATTTATCAAAAACTGGCACATAAAACCAGACGGTCTATTTAAAGATGACAAAAGAAAAGTCATTGACATCCAAATGTTTTTTTAGTTTGCATTTTTTTCCTGTGGTTCAGTGCTAATATCGCGTCATTTTTTAATTTTTATTATTATTATTTTGTTATTTCTAAGGATAACTTCTATTTGAATTCAAGGAGTTATATGTGTATTATCATCTAAGATGGTATTTTAAAAACCTGTCATGTTATGGAAAGGATAATGTATCTAGAAGGTTGATACCTCCTGCTCTTTGTTCAACTGCTGAGCAAAGGCATTTCGAATAAAGACAATCTGTCTTCAACGCTATCAATTTCCTGTATTTGGAGGTTACTGGGTGCTTGAGATGACGGAGATAGTGTGTGTAGCTGCTGCGGGGGAGCTGGGTAGATTTAAAATGCAAGAAATTTAAAAAAGGCAGAATAAATAATTAGAAATAAAAGTTTGGAATATTTTTAATAAGACGCAATTTATGCATTTTTAATTTTAGACCCCAAACTGATCACTACAGCTCAAATCGTGGCAGAACAATAAGATGAGAATCCAGTTTTTGCACATCGATCCTCTTCCTGTGTCTCTGCAGTGTTTGATGTGTGTGAGGCTTAATTACCTGCGCGTTTGGCTGCTGCTGCTTTTCTCTTTTTAATGATCTGAAACAGGTTTGAGACATGCTCGGCGGTGAGGCAGTTTTTTTGTGACACCGGGATGAACCGGTTGTGATCTTTAGATGTTTGACAGTTCAGGAGAGGCCTCCCTGGAGGGATTCCGCCCGTCCGACTTGTCTGACTGCTTAATCACTTCAAGGAGGGAGCCTTCTGCTTAATTATAGGTTTAACTAATGGAGCAAACTCAATGTGATGTGATTTCTTTTTTTCCCTTTGTAACTTGCTGGCTGTTAAAGCAAAGCAGCCCACCACTATAGTGCGGTTTAGATATCTGTGTTTCCAAATTTTTTTAAAAAAAGAAAGGTGCTGCAGCCAAAAGCTAAAACCTATTATCACCACTCACACGTGTTTAAACCTGTCCAAACTTGTGAGTGACTCTCATTAAGACAATGCAGAGTGAAAACAGCTTACAGCAGGAATTAAAAGAGCATTTAAAGATTTAAAAAAAAAAATCATCCTCCTTCCTCCTCCTCCTCCTCCTCCTCTTCCTCTTCTTCACTCCCAGGGTTTGCGGACCGCGGCCTCACATTAGACGACTGTAGTATTAATTAAAAATTTCATTCCACATCCAAATTGTTTACTTATCTGCCAGGAACATATGCTGAGAGAAGTTAAGATTCACGATTCTGCACTATTGCCCAAGGTGCAATTCAATCCTGGGGAGGAAGGAAGGGAGGAAGAGGAGGGGGAGGAGGAGGAGGATAGATTTTTATGACAGACTTAGTCCTTATCTGCAGCTGTAAATTAGGGTGATACTTCATTGAACCGAATGTGAAGTTTTACATCAAACCCCTAAAGCGTCCTAATTCAACTTTGAAATTAGACAATTATAATTACTTTCAGGAGTAACTGCAGATTTTTTTTTCTTATTGCGTCATGAGCTGAATATTCTTCCACATATATATATATATATGTTGTTTTTTTTTAATTTTTATTAAAGCTGTGCGTTCACTACACCTGTAATTATCCACCTCAGCCACGGGAGT